ACATGTCCCAGTAGAGACACTACATACTGATGTGAACCTGAACATGAGCACAATAGGGCCTATTTAACGTTTATATTGAAGAAGATTCAAACCATTTGGTACAGCCCTAGTTACAACACCGTGTTCATTTGTATCCCCTTCTCATCTTTTTGTCTGTGATAACACACACATCTGTCTTCTCTCTTTGCAGATTCCTTACTTGGGTTTTTGTGCTTGTGAAGAATTGGGAGAGACCGAGGTGTGGCAGCTGGTCGACCCGCCCATCTTGCCTCTGACACATGGACCCAATCACAGCTTCAACTGGAGGGAAATGCTAATGCAAGACTGAAGGATTTGCTCTTTGGCTCTCTTATCTTTTTGTGACCCTGAACTGCTGAAAGAAATATTTATTTTTAACCCACTCTGCTCTAAATCCAGCCCAACTACCAAAAAAAAAGGAAAGAAGAAAGACCACGTCTGGCTTCCTTCAAAGACATCATGCAAAAAATAAATGCATTTATTGAAGCAAATGTATTCAGACACACAGCTCAGGAATGAGAAAAAATATGAGCCACAGATAGAATTGCAGTTTGGTGTTTTGAGAATTGTGGATATTTCTTAAGACTTGTTGATGAATCAGGTTTATTGCCATGAAAAAAGTGACGTTAAGTCTATGACTCCTCTTCAGGCAGGGCGGTGAAGACTTTGTGTGTTGCTGCCTTCACACACACTGTGACAAGAAGTAGACGAGAAAGACTACCACCACAGAAATATTTTTCCATGTGTCAGAAATTATTATTTAACTTGTAGCTAAGACCCTCCCGCAAATAAAAAAAAAAAAGCACAAAAGAAATGTTGACAATCAGACAGGGGAAAACTGATCTTCATTGTTTCTGGTGCCGAGATGGGTGGTTTATGATTCCTGTAAATGTCATATCATTAAGTGATTTTCTCTAAGTTAACATTTAATTGCCAACATGAATCGTTTTACTTTCCTGCAATGCAGTTTTATTACCACCACAGGAGCAACCAAGGCTTAAGAAAATTAATATAATTTAATACAGATCGCTTTTGGGTGCGTTGACTAAAAATATTTGCTTGTTAATCACAGCAGCACTGTTGAATTTCATGTTTTTTGTTATGTCAGATGATTTAAATGCTTACTGCCTATACCAACTGTTTGTTATTTGAGACCAAGCATCTATTGATACTCTCAAAAACGAATAAAGCAAGGATGTGGAGATATGGCCTATACATATAAGCCTGTGCCATGTGTTCTGTAAAAAAAATCACTTCTTTACATAAGATATTCGTGAGAATTAGGTAGCTCATAATTTTTGGTACTGTTTTACACAAATAGCTTTGCAGTTGTTTATTAAATAAAGATATGCAGGCATTGCAATGAACAAAGAGCTAACTAATTTAACGACAATCTTGTGGCAATGTGCTGTTTATGCCGGACTTAACACCGACAATATTATTTTACTTTACAGAGCACCAGGTTGCACTAATTGTCTCATTCAGAGCAGTATTGTTGTGTACTAAGAGAACATAGAAAGGCCCTTTTCACAGCAGACCTTTTGACTTGTTGTAGTAAGAAAATAAAAACACAGGAGTATTTAAAACATGTCTGAAGCCGCTGTACTATTCAGTGTTCGAAAGAGACATCATGCACAAAACCAGTTCCTCCATTGAGTGCATCATTAATCATCATTAATCTTAAATGCTGTGCTTTTGCTGCAATAATGGCAAAATATCCTATTGGACTTTTAGTTATAGAGTGAGTAGTTACATTCAATAATTCTGATTTATAAGGTAATATTGTTAATGATGCATTCAGAATACTGGCTTAAGGTGTTTTTGCAAGATTTGGCCTTCTTTGTCAGGCTTCTCTGTCTGGATATCTCTAACAGGAAAGACTTTCTCTCCTCAAGGAAGAAGCCCGTTTGGACAGTTTGGACCCTGAGGTGGATTCATTGCTAACTTAAACAGCTTGAAGTGAGTCTAGGGATGTAGAGAATGGCTATGAAAACTGCGCGATAAATTAACATACAAGTTATGCTGCTTTAGTGAGACTTATTTTTGGCTAACTAGTTAGCTAACAGTCACAAGCTAAATGTTATCCTCCTAGCCCGTCTCTTGCTAACTCAGGTAAGGGCTTTTTTTAGTTTGTTCGTGTGTCGGCTGAAACGTTAATTGTATTGTTAAAACCCTAACCTCAAGTGAGTTACCATTTCAATGTATTAACTATAGAGGTATGAGAAGCACCTGTAACCTGTGTAGCTAAGTGTTAGCATATAACAGTTTGACATGACGAGCTAACGTCACAGGTGATGGGAGAAGCTGATTTAGCCACACCAGTATTAATTACACTGTTAGAGCAGTAATATAGTAAAATATGATAATCAAAACAACAAGCAAATATTACATTATTAAAGGTTTACACAATATATAATTGTAATAACACTTTAGAAACACTGCCTTTTAACAATGCTCTTGATACTTTTACTTAGACTAGTAAGTTATGTGGCTATATTTTAACACTTATATTGACCTAAATCTTGCTGCTTAAGTTTTTAGAGGATATGCAATTCATAATTAGCCTAAAATACAACAACGATTTGACAAACTAAAGGCAAAAGTGTTAAATGTACCACAGCAAATTCTCTCTTTCAGGGCTTGCATTCATATTAGACTTGTTGACAAAGAAGACAAATATGTATAATACTATATAAAGTATTATAATGTATTCAGAATTGATTATGAAGAAACCTTTTGTGTACTAAAATGTTGACAACAGTAGGCCTACATATCCTACAAAATCTGCTCACTAATGCATATTCACAGACTAAGTGTGAAACCAAACAAACACTAGGTGGTGCTGCTTGATGACCAATATCAGTAATAGTTCCTGCAGAGACCTTCACACACTATACAGCTAAACTCTTCCATGGGGTTATGTGCACTAAAATTGGGGTTTTTCTCAGATAGAAACATTTAAAAAAGGTAAAATATTTTCATAGAATAAAAAGGTTATTGTGTTATTGTTTATAGTTTTGACCCTGTGATTTTGACTTTTTCATCAAATATGATACAGAGTGATGAGAAAACTATAAGTGTACTTTTTGGTTACTTTGTTTGGTTTTAAACAAGACCACATGGTAGATATATGGTATATTTCGAAACATGAAACACTCAGAAAATGATTACTGTAATATATTTGTTTAATTCTAATGATAAACTCTTAGCCAGTGTGTATGTCTATTAAATCAGTCCTTAGACAACTTTCTAGCTGAGCCAAGTGACTGATGGCCACTTACTAATAATACCACTGAAACAGCTGATTCATTTTATAATTTACATGCACTCTAACACAGTAACACAAGTGTGGTAGTTAGCTATCGGTTAGGTTGATTTACCATTCATCCATGAATCTCCCTGCAGGGGGCAAAGGGCAGTGGCAGCTAGGACAGACATCTCTGCAGGCAGCGGGTAGGTGTTCACTGATGCATTCACTCTTCAACATATCTTGCACTTTGACTGTGTGTGAGTGGGGCTTTTTTTAAGAAAACATGACAGTGATAACATTTAAAAAAATAGTAGTTCTGCTGCAAATTTGAATCTAATTTTAATTTTGGTTTCAATATTCCTACAATAGTCTATACATAAACAAACATATTTGTAATGTATATATTTATATATATTCAAACTTTAACATTGTTCCTCTTCAAAAACGTATTTACTGATGTGTTTTCTATCATATCTTATCTCTTGCATTTAATAGACACAGACAAAATATACAATTACAGATCAATATTTTCAAGATATACAGTCACTCTGCCACCCCTGAAATAAAATGGCAAAGGTTCATGAAAGAAATGGGACCTGTTCTTCATTTTGAGTATGAAAAAGGTACGTTTCCGGTTACCGTCGGTCTCCATGGACTGTATTTCGGTGAGTGTTTCAGCAATATTATGATGTCTGACAGTGATTTGAAGTTGATGTCAGATATATCCAAAAGCTGACTGTAAAGCGTGTGTCACTGCTTCTGCCTTCTGACAAACTTATCCCCCATTGGCTTGTTACTTTGTGAGTTACATGTTCAGTTGCATAGGGAGCAACTGTAATATTTTACAGCTGTCATCTGGCATAAGACTCAGGTTAAAGCTGGGGTATGTCATTTATTTCAGAAACACTTTTTGTTAGATTCCATGGAATGCTCTTAACATCCCGATAGCAATGAATATATTAAACGCTTTGACAATAAATACATAAAAAAATGTCATCTGTTGAAGCCGTAGTCCTACTGTAAAAAGCAACGAACCAATCATTTTAGCCGGCTGGCTAAAATAAGCTGCCGATGGCACCTCAGCGGCAGCTGGCGGCCCTAACCTGCCGTCAGCCCTTCATCTCGTGGGCAGCAAATTTATCTCGGCCCGTTATTGGTCATGTGCGCGTACGTGTGTGTGGAGAGGGGTCCTCTGTAAGGAAGTCTGAAGGAAGAGGTAGATTTTTTCGGCTGCGTACTTTCAAATTCTAATAGCGGACTCGAAGCTGGTTTCTTCCAAAGTTAGCATACGCCCCACCCCCCCCAGGCGTTTAAAAGAGAAAGTGATTATCCTAAAACCTGACAGATTTTCCTAAACGAACAGTGCAAAAAGGGCTTAAACCTGGCCTTCTGTCAAATGGCCAGCAGGGGGCGACTCCAACTGGGTGGAAAAGAGAATCTGATTGCTATAGAAGTCTATGAGACACGGGGTCTACTTCTCAGCTTCTCACTTCGTGTTATAGTTTCCTAAAAAAAAACGGTTTCCTCGGCTTTAATTCAACAGCATGTTCTAAAAATTTTGATTGTAGCTAAAATACGAATTAAATATAAAGCAGCAAGTAAGCTTTAAGGCGGGTTACCTGTGATGGACAGGTTCTACAAGCAATTGTTATCTGGTTATGGGTGAAGTTCATTGCCTGTTATCGCTCACACTAATGCTGTTAAAGACACAACTTCAGACTATTACACCGGCGTGTACTAAATTAATATGGTGAGTTGTAATCGCAAATAGTTGCCGGCTTCGAGTCCCCAAAATTCACCATAAATGGCTGTGTTTTTTAGCTGAACTACAGCACCTTTTTTTACGCCTGTCATCCGCGAAGCGGCTACGGCTTCTGCCGTGGCAGCAAACAGTCGTTGATGAGAGCAGTTTCGAGCAGATGCATATCAGTATAGTAGAGTTGTAGAAAATAAAAAGGAAAGCACTTCATATGAAATAGGAAAACCTTCGAGAGAAAACTGAACTTTTTGATCAGCAACATTTGGAATGAGCAGATAGTGTGATGATAATTGTGCAATTCGTAAAAATACTATATATGATGATGGTGGCGACTGTTTATACCCAAATCATCCTATTAATTTTTTACATACAACAGCTTGTTGCAGTCACACTTTTCATGCTTCTGGACCTGTCAACACCTGTCGCAATACTCAAGCAAAACTGCGACAAAGTTTCGGTTGTCACGAATAAGTTTAGAGCACGCAATGTAAAATTATGAAGAAGGCATGTCGATTAGTCTGATATAGAAGTTTTTTTTGTGATTACATCAATTTGGCTTTGAAGCAACGAGGGCTAGTCAGCTCCCTGAGCTCTAATAGGGTTGACAGCCAGGCTGTCACCGGGAGTTAGTGAGCCGCCACTGTGCAAGTTCTCAAGATGGGGGGCGAGCGGGGTGGAGAATGAGAATATACTGCAGCAGATAGGCAGATTCAGCCACACAGAAGCAAGAGATGCCGTCTAATAGGCTGCTTTTTTAAATACGGCAAAAAGTCTCTAAACCGACATTACTAAATAAAACGGCCGCTCTTTTTGATGGC